GATCTTTTATGTATAATTTGTCAGTAGATTGTAGGAATAATATGGTTCCCTCTGGTTTTCGTGACTGGCTAGGCATTGTTTCTCTCTTGTATCATAAGAGATGACCATTTTTAACGATAGGTTTTCTCCTTGCTTCATGTTTCCATGGCTTCAGTTTGGGGTTTTATTGTAACAGTGCTTTGTGGGTTTGCATTACAGTGAGTTCTATGAACCCAATGCCCTCATGATGGAAGAAGAAGGAGCTATAATTGCTGGTCTGTTGGTGGGTCTCAATGTCATCGATGCCAATTTCTGTATGAAAGGAGAAGATCTGGACTCTCAGGTATGGGAAGAACATGCACATAACCAAGTGTGTCACTGTTTCCTGTGCCCCTGGGGTCTGGGTTGAGTAGGTCACATCAGCCAAGTTAGAGGAAACTCTGAGAATCATAAAGAGGTCTTCCTTTCATTTTGATGTTAATATGAAGAGTAGGTTTTTGTGTTTTTCAAATTCTTGTCTTAGCTGTAATTCTTCTACTGTGTGGGTGTGGCTTAAAAGCCGGGGTTGTGCAGTTGCTGAGAGTAAAGGCTCTGAAGCCCAGCTATGTCATTTCAGAGTCTGTCTTCCTCGTTCTCTAGCTGAATATATTTTGTAAGTTTTTTGGTGCTTTCAGATTCTTAGTATACAGATAAAAATACGAGTATTTAATAGGGTTATTGCTCATAAATGTAGTTTACTTTGAACAGAGCCCAGCATCGGTTAATTGCCCAATAATAAACATGTTTTCACTAATACAGTTTCTCATCTCATCTGTATGAAATACTTTGGTGAGTTTCTATTATATTTTACTCAGGGAAAATAGAAAAGGATGTGGTTTGATTTTTTGTTTGTTTGTTTTTGTGGATTTTTTGTTGTTGGTTTTTTTGTTGGTTTGGTTTGGTTTGGTTTGGTTTGGTTTTTTTTGAGACAGGGTCTCCCTGTAGCCCAAGCTAGCCTGGAACTCATATGTAGACCAGGCTGGCCTTGAACTCACAGAGATCCACCTGCCTCTGCAAACTGGGACTAAAGACGTGCACCACCACCCCTGGCTGATTTTTTTTTTTTTTTAAGAAAGAAAATTGAGTAATAAAATGGAAGTCTTGAAAAATGAAAGTGTTCTGGGTGACAATTGGAAGGAATGAACAGCAGTGTTAGCAGCAGCCATCTTGGGGTGGCTGAGGGTGTGGATATTTTAAATTATTTCTGTTTTTCTGTATTTTCTGAAGTATCTACAAGGGAGTAGGTATTGTTTTTATATTATACATATAACTTTTTAAACTATAAAACTAGATAGAAACCCACAAAACGGAAATTAGAGATGCTGAGAAAGGGGAGACTAAAAGTCACGTGACATGAAATGAAAAAGGAAGTTCAGGGTGAGAAGGCAGAAGTGAGGAGAGTGAAGGGGAAATAGAGGCCGGCCGCTGAAAGATGTCAGAATGAAGCCTAGTTCTTTGTAAGTGAATAAAAATTAGATTTAAGGGTCTGAAGAGATGGTTCTACTGTTAAGAGCACTAACTGGTCTTGCAGAGGACTGGGGTTCGGTTCCTAGCACCCATATGGAGGCTCAAAAATGGTCTGTAACTTCAGTTCCAGAGGATCTGGTGCTCTTTTCTGGCATTGGTGGGCACTGCATGCACATGGTATACTTACATGCTGGCAGAACGCTCATACACATAAAATAAAAATTAATTTTTAAAAATTTAGTTTTTAAAAGTTACTCATAGAAAGAAATAAAAAGTCAGTAGAAGAATGCCTGGAAGAAGTAGAATAGAAAGACAGTTTAAACCTGATTTTTAATGCTAAGTGCTTTGTTGACTGTCTTAGTTGTGAACTTGTCTGTGGTGGGTGGGTGGGTGTGTGTGTGTGTGTGGTGGGGGGGAATGTATGTGTATGTGGTATGTGTATGTGTATTTGTTTGTATGTGATGTGCTGGACCTGGAACTAAAGCATTATACACTGTACATTGTTCAGCCACATCCTCAGCCCCCACTTGACTTAACTTGACTCTTAAATTTTATTTATTTATTTTTCTTTTTTATATATGAGTATATTGCCTGCATACATGTAGGTGTACCAGTGTCATGCAGTGCCTCTAGAGGCCAGAAGAGGGCATCATATGCCCTGTAATTGGAGTTACATACAGTTGTTAGCCACCGTGTGGGTGCTGAGAACCCAACCTAGGTCCTCTGCAAGAGCAGCCAGTGCTCTTAAATGTGGAATCATCTCTCCAGCCTATCTTGACACTTTTAATTTCTTACTTTACGATTGTATTTATAGTAAAATACTGAATTTCATTGTAAATTTCTGGCTATTGTCATAGTTATATTACTATTTTGAGTGCCTAGAAAGAAGCATTGTTTTATGCCTTGGGAAAAGTATCAATTTTATGGGGCTGGAGAGATGGTTCAGCAGTTAAGAACACTACCTGTTCTTGTAGAAGAACTGGGTTCGAATCCCAGCACCCACATGTCAGCTGTTAGCTGTCTGTAACTCCAGTTTCAGGGAATCCGACAGCCTCTTCTGTCCTCCGCAAACATTGCATGACGGGTGTGCTTACCTACATGCAGACAATACACAAATACACATAGAAATAATAAATAAAATATTTTTTAAAAAAAGAAAGAAAAAGTATCAGTTTTATATTAATATCTGAAAATTTTCTCTGTAGGTTGGAGTTATAGATTTTTCAATGTATCTCAAGGATGGGAACAGCAGTAAAGGTAGTGAAGGGTATGTATGAAGAAACCAAGTCCCTTTTTTTCTGATGTAGTATATTTTCTTCTTTGGTAGAATTCAGAGTTTGCAACAATACTGATTTAGCAGACTTCCTAGAAGAATTTTGTTTGCTAGTTTTTTTGGTCTTCTTGAGACAGGGTCTCTCTATAGTCCTAGTCAGCCTAGAACTCGAGACAAGGCTGGCCTCAATCTCACAGAGATCCACCTGCCTCTGCCTCCCAAGTGCTAGGATTAAAGGTCTGCACCACCATACCCAGTTCCAAAAGAATTTTTGACTCTATAACTTTAATAAAGTCTTGACAAAAATATCTGGTTATTGCACCTACAATTAAACCCTAAAAGGGTTTTTTTAAATAAATGATTTTCCTGCTGTGTAGTTCAGGGCCAGGCAAAATAAAGATGCATAAAATAAATCCAATTCTCTGTATCATTTTGTTTTATCTTGTTTTGATTGATTTTTTGAAACAGGGTCTCTATTCTGTAGCCCAGAATAACCCAGTACTCACTAAATATAGACCAGACTGACCTTGAATTTGAGGCTGTCCTCTTGCCTCTCAAGTGAAGGGATTACAAAAGCATGAACCAACCATGCCCAGTAATTCTCCTTAGCTTGATATTGGACTTGAAAATGTAGGCAGGCATGGGAGTACCACACCTATGATCCTACTATTTGAGAGGCTGAGGCAGGTGGATCTATGTGAGTTCCAGGCCAGCCTGGTCTATATATTGAGTTCCAGGCCAGCCAGGGCTACATAGTGAGACCTTGTCTCAAAATAAAGCGAAACAGAAAGAAAACAAAAAATCTTGACATTTATGAAAGCCTTATTAACGTAGATTTATTTTTCACTTTTAAACCACTGGGTCTTTAATGTCGATAAAGGGATCGTTTCAAGTCTAACTTCTGGTTCCGTGTATATGCGCATCAGTAGTCTCAGGTCTTATGAAAAGTTGGGGTGAGAGATGACATCTTGGTATTTCTGTTATTTATCTGTTTCTTCCCTCTTTTTTTCCTCCAGGGATGGTCAGATTACTGCAATTCTGGACCAGAAGAATTATGTTGAGGAACTCAACAGACATCTGAAGTAAAGAATGAACAAAATACTTTTATTGGGGGTTTGTTGAGAGAGAAGGGAAGCATAAAACAATGACCAATAAGGATCAAGTCAAACAGTATTTCACAAATGTACAGAGAATTTCTATTGCCAAGCAGAGTTGAACACTGGATAAATGGGAGTTCATTGATTTGGTGACTTTTAGTGAAAGGCAATTAAGATTATTATGAAATTACAATTCTAGTGATTAAATATGTTGATAAGCTATACTGGGTGTGGTGGTACACAGCTTTAATCAAGCACTCAGAAAGCAAAGACAAGTGGATCTCTCTGAGTTCCAGGCCAGCTTGATTTACACAGCAAGTCCCAGGTCAGCCATAGCTACATAGTGAAACCCTGTCTCAAAAATCAAACAAAATAGAATTTTAAAAAAAAAAATCACACCTATATTTGGAATTGGCAGCCCTCGGTACAGTGGATAAAGTCACCTACTGCAGGACTGATCTTAGATAAACCATCCATTTAATTCCTTTAATATTATCTTTCTCCTTTGCATTTCTCATTGATGCACTGAGTTAATAGTATTAACTATATGTTTTGTTTGTTCTGTTTTTTTAGTTTTTTGAGACAGGATCTCCTATAGCCCTAGATGGCCTGGAACTCAATATGTAGACCAGGATCTCACAGAGATCCACCTGCCTCTGCCTCCTGAGTGCTGGGATTAAAGGCATGTACCACCATGCCCGTCAAAACTCTAAGTTTTTAATCACTAACCGGTGTTGTCTTTACTCTTACTGCCATTAATTTACCAGATACTCAACAGTTATTCCAAAAACTCTATAGAACATGCAAGTTTTCTCTGCCCTAAGAAGCACAGCCCGAAAGCTATTGACATTCTCAAGTTCTTTGATGTTATTATGCTAAATAATTCTGCTAATACTGCTGAATAATTCAGAAGGATAATTAAATAGCCATTGATTATTATCCTGCTTGTAGCCTATGAAACTTCCTAGCTTATAGAACTTCTATTGTGAGGATCATTCTTAATTTGAGATTTACAGTGTGGTTATATTAGCATTGTCATTTAGAGGCAGCATTTCCTTGCAGGTTTGGGGTCTCACTGATAAAAGAATTTAAAAAATGGATTCAGAGAGATGGCTTAGCAGTTAAGAGCACTACCTGCTATTGCAGAGGACCTGGGTTCAATTCCTAGCACCCACATGGCGACAAACAACCATCCATAACTCCAGTTCCAAGAGATCCAATGCCCTCTTTGACCTCCATGGGCATTGCATGACACTGGTGTGCTTACATATATGCAGGCAATACACTCATACATATAAAATAAAAATAATAAGCCAGGCATGGTGGTGCATGCCTTTAATCCCAGCACTTGGGAGGCAGAGACAGGTGGATCTCTGTGAGTTCAAGGCCAACCTGGTCTACATAGTGAGTTCCAAGACAGCTGGGGTTACAGGGAGACCCTGTCTCAAAAAGACCAAAAAATAAAATAAAATAAAAATAATAAACAAAATAAGATGGACTGAGAAGGGAACTCAAAGACAGTTTATTGGAATTCAGGAGAAAACACCAGGCAGGAAAGCCACAGATCTTGGCAGCTGCTAAGATGAGGAAGGGGAAAATGTTAAATTTATAATAGTATACAAATAAAAGATACACCTTGGAGGTTAAATAGGGCACTCTGGGAAAGGGAAGAACTGTGCCCAGAACAGTTCCTCGTCATTTTATTGAAGGGTTACAATGTTGCCCTCCTTCCAGGGTAAGATGGACCTTCGGCACAAACACAGCATTCCACCCTGTAGGGCCCAACCAAGGAAGAAATATTTAATCTTAATACTATTTTATTTAGCCTTGTCCTTGACTAAGAGTTGCTCTGGGTAACCTAGAAGTGAGGCTATATGTAAGATAAAAGGAATAATAGCTAACTTGATTTATTGTCAGTTCACCTTCTACTTGTGTTAGCTGGGGGCTGGGAAGGAATGGCTAACAGATCTTTACCTTTTAATTTGTTAACTTTGAACTGATTTAAAGTCCATGCCATTGGCTTATCTTTAACCTTGCAATTTGCTACAGACAGCTTACAGATTTTTTATCATTAACTGGAAGGCCACTGCTGGCTTATTTTTAATCTAACCAAGGAAGACCAGCACTTAAAAATGAGTTATGAGCAGCTTGGGAATTTCCCATGATAGTGCTTAAAACTGGCCTCCTTTTTACTTTGAGTTTGCTGTTGTTGTTGTCTTCTTCCACGAGATTACCACTGATTGTGCTCTTTGTCTCAGAGAAAACTGACATGTTGGTGCTTATTTTTCAAATGCTGGCTGAGGAAATGATGGCTACTAAAGGTCCTTTGAGTTCTTCTCTTCCTGCCTAGGGTCCTCTATTAGTATCAAGATAAATTTTGAATACCCTTGGTTCCAGCTAATAAATTCAAGAACAGTTTAAGCACATTTTCTTTGGGGACCAAGAAGTAAGCATGACAATAACAACCTGTGAAAACATCCATCAAGAAAAGATATGGCTCCATTTGACAGAGAAATTAGACGAGAGTTTTAGTCTTTCCATACTTGGATTTCTTTATCTATAGTTAGAGATCCTAACAGAAATGTCTTTGAAAGGACTAAATGAGTTAATGTTAAATGAAGCCATTTAGAAGAGTAGTCATATACACGTAGGCTGTTATTGTAATATATAGGTAAACCTCAGAATTGTCATGTAATGCATGCTCCTTTATTTCACTCAACAATGCTGAATATGAACTCCACTGCCAAAGACGCTACAGTTAAGGCAGACGCTGTCTCAGAAATACGAGTCCATCAAAAATTGTGGGCATGAGAGAAGGTATTGAGGTATAGATAAGATCAACATGTTTGTATACATGTATGAAAAAATCACAATGAACCCTATTTGGTGTAATTAGTAGTTAAACTTTCAAAAAATAAAATTGAAAAACATTGTGAATGTTAGATGGACAGAATGGTAAGTGTGACGAGTGTTAAGAAGGCAAGTCCAGGCCGTTGCTCTGCTTTTCAGAAGAAACAATCATGTTTTTTCTTCTCTTGGTAGTGCTACTGTAAACAACCTTCAGGCAAAAGTAGATGCATTAGAGAAGTCGAACACTAAATTGACAGAGGAGGTAAGTGTTTTGGAAATTATTTAACCTATAAAATTTACTAGTATGTATTAGTGAAATCAGTAATTTCTGTTGCCCTCCTAGAAATGAAGGATTTGACCATTGAGATACCTACTCAGGAAATAACTCCTTGTCCTGATTGCGCAGTCAGTCTAGCCCAGGTCCTCATTTTCCTAGTGGTACTATACCGAGCCTGCTACCCAGCTCATTAAGTGTCCTTCGTGTGAGCATTTTGTCTGGATTAGTGTAGAGTAAGTATTTAGCATATAGTATGATACTTATAATTTATTCATTCAGTAAATATTTTGGGCACTATTCATGTGGTACAACTACACAAAGACAAAGATCTTCCCCCTTACCACCACCTTTTTTAGACAAAGATTTCTTTGTGTCAGGCACTGATCTGTGTGTTCTAAACTGGCAAGTTACATGACTGCCTGCATTGTTATCTTTTTAGGATGCATAACACAAACAGCACTGGTTAGACAGCCAGTAATCCCTGCTCTGTGTCATACTGCTTACAAGTCATGTCCTCCTAAGTCAGTCAGCTGACCCCTGAGAAGCCGGGTTTCCTCAGTAGCAGTGAGGGTGTTTATACTTCCCCTTTCAACCCCACAATTTCTCTGAAGACTAGATAAGAGTATCAAAGTGAAAACTCTAAGGAAAATCCTTAAAATAAGAGAAAATTAACTTCATGTTTGACATCTGATTAGTAAGTAGATATTTCCTAACTTGACAAAGGCTAAACTACAGGTTTTGTTTAATAGAATTAGACATTTCTATGAAAATCTTAAGTAAAATTATCCAGATTGCAAAACTCATTTGCTCATATACACTGAAGTAAACTTGGAGTGAAGTAAACTTGGTTTAAATAAAATAGAATTAAAGCACTGATTAAGAATGGCACACGCCTTTAATTCCAGCACTCAGGAGGCAGAAGCAGGCAGATCTCTGTGAGTTCTAGGGCAGCCTAGTCTACAAAGCAAGTTCTTCGCTGGGCTTCAGGGAGACCCTGACTCAAAAAGAACAAAAAAAAACCAAAAAGGAATGTGCTAATCTAGCCAGACGTGATGGCGCATGCCTTTAGTCCCAGAACTCTGGAGACAGAGATAGGCAAATCTCTGTGAGTTCAAGGCCAGCCTGGTCTACATAGTGAGTTCCAGGGCAGCGGGGGCTATGGGGAGACCCTGTCTCAAAAAGACAAAAAGAAAATTTTATATATATATGCTAATCAATCGGCTTTTCTTCAGAACAAACAGAGAGAGTGTATATCTGTGTGTCAGTTTTTGAAAGAGGGTCTTTGTTTAGCCCACTCTAGCACTGAACTTAATCCTTTTGCCTCAGACTCCAAAGTGCTAGGATTATGTGTCCCCACTGTTTTTGGTTTTTTTTTTTTAAGATGGTATCTCACTTTATAGTCATGGCTGTCCTGAAACTCAAGAGATCCGCCTGCTTCTGCCTCTTGAGAACTGTGATTAAATGCATGCACGACCATACCAGGCTATTATCATAATTGTATTTTATTTTAATTGTGTGTTGTGTGCACATGTGAATGCAGCTATCCTCAGGGGCAGCTGGAGTTACAGGCAGTTGTAAGCTTTCTGACACAGGTGCTGGAAACTGAACTGGGGTCCTCTGGAAGAGCAGTATGTGCTCTTTACCAGTTTGGTTTTGGTTTGGTTTTTTTGTGTTTGTTTGGTTTTTGGTTTTTGGTTTCTTGAGACAGGGTCTCCCTGGAGCTCCAGGCTGTCCTGGATTCACTATGGAGACCAGGCTGACCTCAAACTCACAGAGATCCACTTGCCTCTGCCTCCCAAGTACTGAGATTAAAGGCATGCACCACCACGCCCAGCTTTGTTACTATTTTTTAAATGCTTTATTTCTTAACTTTCTGTGCTTCATTCATGGACGAAGACTCTTAAATTATGTATCTCAAAACTTTGTGGTTATGAATCTTTGAAACCAAAGGACCAGTGAGATGGCTCAGTGGGTAAAGGCACTGGCCACCAAGCCTGAATACCTGAGTTCAATTCCCAGAACCCACATGGTGGGAGGAGAGAATCAGCTCCTGCTAATTGTCCTCTGGCCTCCACATGCATGCCACATATATACACACACATGAACATGCACATACACACACAAAAAAAAAATCAATAAAATGGTTTTTTTTTTGTTAGTGTTGTTTTTGTTTTTTGTTTTGAAACAGGGTTTCCTGTAGCCCTAGCTGGCCTGTGACTTGGTATATAGACCAGGATGGCCTCCCTCTCACAAAGATTTGCCTGCTTCTGCCTCCCTATTGCTCCCAATTGTGTATCACCATGCCCAGTTTAAAAGGTTCTTTTTTAATATTAAAAACTAAAGAATCTGGCTGGAGAGATGACTCAAAGGTTAAGAGCATTGGCTACTCTTGCAGAAGACCCAAGTTCAAATCCCAGCACCCACATGGTAGCTAATAATTGACCATAACTCCAGTTTCAGGGGATCAGTGCCTTCCTGTGTCCTCTGCAGGCATTGCACAACACGGTGCACTTACATAGATGCAAGCAATATACTCATACACATAAAATAATAAGAAATCAAAAAAATTTTTAAAGAATCTTTGGAATTAGGGCTTTTTTTTAAAGTCATCACTGACACCTTTTTTTCAGATGAGATCTCACTATGTAGTCCTGACTGCCCTGGAACTTGATATGTAGATGAGACTGGCCTCAAGCTTACAGAGATTCCCCTGCTTCTGCTTCCTAAGTGCCGAAATTAAAGGCATGTGCCACCATGACCTACCAGCACAGACACTTTTTGCTGAGATTCTGCTGCTACTTTATTGAAGTAATCTGACAGTTAAACCACGTGGGTTTGTGTTCTAGCCCTTCTACATTTTAACTCTCCAATCCTGTATCAAATATTTAAGCCTTCATTCTTTGGTTTACAAATGAAAAGAGAAATCATGATAGTATTTTATAAAATTGTGCAAATTAAATGAATTAATGCACATTAAAACAGTGCCTAACACATGTCAAGTATTCAATAAATGAAACTTATTCATTGATTCACAAGAATTGTCCTTGTGACTTAGATTTATCACACTGATGATGCTCATTTATTTATTCATTCATTCATTTTACTAATGACATTTCTTTTTATTTTATTATTGTATATGTATATGATGTGTACATGTGGATATGAGTACTGTGGAAGCCAGAGGACAACTTTGTGGAGTCGGTTCTCGCCTTCCACCTTTATGTGCATTTCAGGAATCAAACTCAGATCAATAGGCTTTGGCAGCAAGCACTTCATCTGCTGAGCCATCTCCCAAGCCCACTTTTATTTTCTTGAAACTTAATTTTCAAAGATAGGTAAGCACTTTGCATGCTTTATAGAAAGCAGATAAAGAGATTCAGGCCTGACTTAACCATTTTCATTTTTTGAAATAAGAAGACCATTTTAAATTTCTATATAAAATGTCCTCTTTTCCTCCTCCTGACTCTGAACCAGTGTCACAAAAATTAAAACATAAATATCCACTTTACTGTTGATAAAGCTGAATTAGTTAGAACACTCGCTTGGGTCTGCATCTGAAATCGGGTTTCCCAATCTTTTTTAAGTTGAGATCTTGGAGTGATTTGTCTGAGGACCCACTTGAGTCTAGAGCATAGATTATGTCCAGAATTACTTTTTTACACATAAACCCATTGAGTAGAAAGATAAGCAGGTTTTCAGGTCTGCCTCCAGAAAGTGCCTGAGCCCAAACTCCTCAATATTCAGTTAGAACAGGAACTGAGCAGAACCTGCAGTTGCAGTCAGAGAGACAGAAAGGAGCCCCCCACTCCATTCTGAGGAGCCTGCTTAATCCTTCCTCCTGGCCTCACTCAGGTGCCTTCACAGTCTTTGCAGGAAACTTAGTTCTATACTTGTAAAGAAGGGAAAAATGTTTCAAGCCGCAATGATGTGGCCTTGATAAGACATGGTATTCTGAAATGCTGAAATGAAAAATCTTTCAATGCTTCATGGGTCTTTCAGGGTAAGAACTCTTTCTTTAATCGTTCAGAATTATCTATAAAAGGTCATTCGGAGGATTCACCACATGGTTCCATGGCACAAAGTGCCTTTTTTTAAGACAGTGTTTCACTGCTGTGTGTGTTTGAGATAGGCTTTCACTCTATCTAAACATTTTAGAAGTATTCTGAATAAATATACTGACAAACTGTCTATAAAAGGCTGTCTTCAATTAAACCTTCCTAACATTTGGGCCTGGAAAAAAAGGTTTCCCAAGACTGGGAGGTGACTCAGTGGGTAAAGTACTTGCTATGCAAGCACAAGGACTTGAGTTTGGATCTTCAGCACCAGCATGAAAGCTGGGAGTGGCAGCACACATCTGTAACCCTAACAATTTGGAGTGGAGACGGCAGATTTTGTGCCTCCCTGGCACCCATTCTAGCCAAAACTCAAGCTCTAGGTTCAGTATGAGAGCCTGTATCCAAAACTAAGGTAGAGAATGATAGAGAAAGATGCCCAACATCAATCTTTGGCTTACACACAAGCGCACATGCACAGTCCTGTACACCCATGTGTACACATATGCATATACATACATATCACATATACATCTAAAGTAAAAGTATTCACATAAAAGCAGCAATGTCACAAAGTGTTTATTTTTATTTTACCCATTTTAAGGATATTTCTTCTAAGTTCCTCATAACATTTATTTTTCTGAAATAGGATCTCACAGTGTAGCCCAGGGTGACTAGAACTGACATGCTTCAGCTTCCAGTGGGATTACAGGCATGTACCACCTGTCTGGCTTATAAGAAGACTAAACTATTATTTTTAATTTGATTAACAGCTTGCGGTTGCAAACAACAGAATCATTACCTTGCAAGAAGAAATGGAACGAGTCAAAGAAGAGAGCTCCTACATACTGGAATCCAATCGGAAGGTAAATCCTTGCTGGATTATAAAACATTCATGGAGAGGGCTAGAGAAATGGCTCAGCAGTTAAGAGTACATGCTGCTATTGCAGAGATCTGGGTTTTGGCTCCCATCACCCACATGGTGGCTCCAGTTACAGGAGATCTTGACACCCTTTTCTGGCCTCCACAGGCATTACATGCACATGGTACACTTACATACATGTAGGCAAAACACCCATACATATAAAAATAAATAAATAAAATAAAAAATATTCATGAAGAAGACGTCTGTGGTGAACAATAGGGAGAAATCTAGAGGGGCCCCAGGCATTGGCATGTGTCAAGCACACTGCTTTGCCTAGACTCTATGCATAACCAAGTGCAGGATGCAGTTCATGGAGGGTCATGTCTTTTCCTATACAATATACTAGTTGGCATAACTGCAGCTTACACGTGTTTAGAGACTTTCAAAAAGTCTAATTCAGATCTTGTTTTTATGTGCTAATGATTTATATTGTATTTAGCTGTTAAAATTGTGATAGCAAATATATTACTATTTTACACTGTGCTACTGTTCTTTAAAAGTAACACTGGGAAAGAGTTAACACATAAATGAATTCTCTAGATAACTTAATCCCTTAAAGTACCAAGCTTTTTATACATTTTAATTGCGTTTTTGCAAACCTTTTTATATACTGTATAATTCTTTTTTTTATTTATTGTATTTTTGTTGTTGTTCTTTGAGACAGTCTTACTACATAGCCCAGACCAACCTCAAACTTGAGATCTTCCTGCCTCTGCCTCCTAAGTACTGGTATTACAGCTGAGTTCAATCCTTTTGGGGGAACATAGTTTATTGATTTTAGCCCTTGGGATGGCCAGATACCATAACTGTTCTGAATTATGACAGTACTACTTTAAGGGAATATTCTAATTGATCTATCAACTAAAATATTCTGATTGGTATGAATGTAAATTTCTCTGTTTTGTCTCTTGTAATTTCGCTGATATCTTGTATTGCTGCTGCCGGTCTTGCTATCTCTAAAAGTTCTTTTATCTTTATGCGTCTACTCTTCTGTGACCTCGGGATCCAGCTATGCCATTGGGAAAATCCTTTCCTGTGCCTATAAATAAGTTCAAATGTATTCCCTACTTTCTACTCTATCAGATTCAAGGTATCAGGTCTTATGTTGAGCTCCTTGATCTATCTGGAGTTGAGGTTTGTGCAAGATGAGAGAGAAGGTTCTAGTTTCATTCTTCTACATGTAGCTCTCCAGTTGAGACCAGCACCATTTGTTTGTGTTTTGTTTTGATTTGGGTTTTTTTTGTTTTTTGGGGGGCGGGGGGTGTTGTCTTTTTGAGACAGGGTCTCCCTGTAGCCCCAGCTGTCCTAGAACTTACTATGTAGACCAGGCTGGCCTTGAACTCACAGAGTTCTGCCTGCCTCTGCCTCCCGAGTGCTGGGATTAAAGGTGTGCACCACCACGCCCGGCCTTGTGTTTTTTTGTTTTTTTTTTTTTTAAACCATGGTCTCATGTAACTCAGGCTAGCCTTAAAGGTGTAACCAAGGATGACTTTGAACTCCTACTCTTCCTGCCTCCACCTCCCAAGTGCCAGGATTACAGTATAAACTGCCACATCCAGTTTTATGCTGTACTATGGGTAGAAGCTAACTAAGGCTTCATGCATGTCAGGCAAACACTTTCCCAGCTGAGTTATATCCCAGCCCCTTGTTTTTTATTTTGTTTTGAGACAGGTTCTTACTCTGTAATCCAGGCTGGCCTCAAAGTCACAGCCTCAAGTGCTGGGATTACAGGCATGAGCCGCCACCACACAGCTATACAATTATTTTCAAAGGCCAATTTTCAGAACTTCTCCACCTATTTTGGTGACACATTTTAGGATTTTAAGTAAAGTGGCAGAAAGCTCCCAATTCCACATGGCCATTTAAAGTACATTCAACTTGAATTTCTTATTGCATCTGCTAATTTGATACAGCATATTTAAATCCTTAAATATGCATCTTTTATTTATCTTTTCAAGGGTCCTAAGCAAGACAGAACGGCAGAAGGGCAAGCGCTAAGTGAAGCAAGGAAGCACTTAAAGGAGGAGACACAATTGCGATTGGTAAACTTAGCTTGAGTTCTAGCAGCCCAGAACACATGCAAAGCTAATGGCCTATGACGAGGTTTCGCTCAACAGATCAAGATAGGAGTATCAATTCCACTGCATTCATATAAATCCTGTAAACCACTTCTTGCTCCTGCTTCTTTTAACCCGTATTCCCTATGAAGCTCTCAATTCATTTTCTGAGTATTTTCAACCACAAAATTTGTCAAAATCGTTATTTTTTTTTACTTTTACTGTTTATATTATAGAATATTAGGTATATAGAACATATATTGGTTTATTTAGTTATTTGTGACAGGGTCTTGCTATGAAGTCCAGGCTGGCCTCAGACTTGCAGTCCTCCTGCCTATAATCCTTCTGGGATTACAGATGTGTGCCATGGTACCCTGCTAGGACTTTTAAACGTCATAGTCCTTGTTACTACCTCAGTCCTTGCCCTGTGGAAGATTCTGCTGTATCCTTGGAGGTGGCAGCTCTTTTCCCCTTACTAATCATAGATGAATGAATCATGCTCTTAGTTTGGACCTTTATTTATTCATTTATTTATGAATTCTTGAGTTTAGATATAAATGGAAAATATCAGCCAGTATTAAGATTATTTTAGAAATTAAAATATATTTATGCATGTAGCTTATAAATATATCTTCGTGAGAATGTCTAAGAAGGAAGCCGGGCATGATGGTGCACGCCTTTAATCCCAGCACTTGGGAGGCAGAGGCAGGTGGATCTCTGTGAGTTCGAGGCCAGCCTGGTCTCCATAGTGAATCCAGGACAGCTGGGGCTACAGGGAGACCCTGTCTCAAAAAGACCAAAAAAAAAAAGAATGTCTAAGAAGGAATATTATTCCTGTAACAGTTTTTATTCAAGTGTTAATATCAGTATATTAATAACCCCTGGTATTTACATGTTAATGTTTCCTGAAAGCCAGATAATATGACAAACTACAGGACCTCGCCCCCACCCTCTGCAGTGTCTCTGAGAATGGGGAAAGCTGAAAAACAGGGTGATTTGATTTGAACTAAAAAGTTACTTCAAATTAAAAATGTATGGAGAAACTCAGGTTTTCTGAAAACACAATGTTTTAATGTCTGTGTGTTTGTAATTAGATATTAAAATGCTTTCCATAAGAAGTATCCTAGGAATAGTATCCTAAGAATAATATTGCCAGAATTTTCAGAAGTAGTATGATTCATTTTCTATCATGATAATTATTTAAAGAGGGAGCCTCAATTAAGTGGCACATAATATAAATCTTAAGGTTTTTCATATTCTTGTCTCACAGTAAGAGACCAAAAAAAAAAAAGAAAAAACCAGCAAGATCCAGGGTGTGCCTTGGGTACCATAAATGCCTTTGTATTTTTGCTCAGCTAATCTATGTTGTTGTAAGAATGGTAGAAACAAAAAAGTTTCTGACTAAATGAATCTAAAATTTTACTTAGCCATTTTAACCATTCCCAGTAACTGAACTGTTACTCTGGGGATCCAGAGTGTCTCAAATATAGCAAGAACATTCAATTTGAGGAGAATTGCAGCTGCTTTGTTTTAAGCTGACTACTGTAACAATTTTTAAATTTCCATTGTAGAATACCCAGTTGTCTTTATGTCTACTGAAGTGGCCAAATCTGTGTATATTTTTGACACATTCAACAGCAGTCTTTGACTTACTGTTTTTTCAGATTTGTATGTTATTGAAAAAATGCTGCTCTACTTAATACTAATTGCTATTCCTTTTTTTGTTTGTTTGTTTTTGTGTTTTTTTAAGATAGGGTCTCCCTATAGGTCAGCTATGAACTCACAGAAATCTGCTTCTGCCTCCCCAGCACTAGGATTTAAAGCGTGGGTCTCAGCCTGGCGTGGTGGCGCACGCCTTTATTCCCAGCATTCAGGAGGCAGAGGCAAGCGAATCTCTGTGAGTTCAAGGCCAGCCTGGTCTACGTAGTGAGTTCCAGGACAGCTGGGGCTACAGGGAGACCCCGTCTCAAAAAAAAAAAAAAAAAAAATGGATCTCCATGCCGGGCCTCCTAATTTTTTTTTTTTTTTTTTTTTTTTTGCCTTTTTGAAACAGGATCTCCCTGTAGCCCCAGTTGCCCTGGAATTCAGTATGCAGACCAGGCAGGCCTTGAACTCACAGAGATCCGCCTGCCTCTACCTCCTGAGTGCCTAATTATTATTCTTAATAACTTTTTTTATTTTTGCCAAAATATTCAATGCTGAGGGTTTTGGTCTACCTTGTGAAATTTTACAATGTCTACTTAGTTGAAGAAAGAATATAAACAGTTCATTTGCCTTTGGGGGCAGGATGTTGAAAAAGAACTAGAGATCCAGATCAGCATGAGACAAGAGATGGAACTGGCCATGAAGATGCTGGAGAAGGATGTCTGTGAGAAGCAGGATGCCCTGGTGTCTCTGCGACAGCAGCTGGATGATCTCAGGGCTCTTAAGCATGAGCTTGCCTTTAAGCTGCAGGTAGGGGAGAGATGAATAGACTATGGCCCTGGGAACTCCTGGGACTGCCCCCTGCCCTGTTCTGTAGAATCACACTTCAGATACCAGGGCAAGAGTCACATCTTATTTTGAAGCCAGCCACCAACAGACTACCTTAACACTATCATAAAACTCTCTGTTGCTGTTCCTTAAAATCTAGGTTATGTTTCACATTGTTTCACGGGAAGAGAAGTCTTTTTTCTTCTCTTTTCTTTTTCTTTTTCTTTGTAAGCATACAAATTAATGGGGTTTTTTCTTTTAATACTTCTTTATTAATTATTTTTTATGTGTATGTGTATTGCCTACATGTATGTTAGGTGCACCCATGTCGTGCAGTGCCCGAGGAGGTCAGAAGAGGGCCTCAGATGCCCTGCAGCTGGAGTTACAGACAATTGTTAGTCGCCACGTGGGTGCTGGGAACTGAACCTGGGTCCTCTGCAAGAGTAGCCAGTGCTCTTAACCGCTGAGCCATCTCTCCAGCCCCAATTAATGGGTTTTTATGGCATTTTGTGCATATCTTTATCATTGTGCTTTTCTCATCTTCACCTCCATGACCCTCCTTGTCCTCCTTCCTCCTCCTACTGTTCCTTTTCCAAATGTGTTATCTAAATAATAGATATTTAAATCTAGGTTCCACATGAGTACCTGTGGGATTTGTTTTTCTTTTCCCTCCCATTAATCTCATGTTCCCTTCCTCCCTTTAGACTCCTTCCTCTCCACACTGAGTCCTCTTTGTACTTTTATATCATATATATTTTTTTCCTTTCATGTATTTAAACATAATATTTTTTAATCTAGATTGACTATAAATCTTTTTATCCCATAATTTCTACTCTCCAGCCTCGCATATCAGCTGCATTGTAAATTTCACTAGTGTTTATTGGACTGCGATAAATTGATGAACCTTCTGATACTGTGATAAGGTTTCCTATAACAATACTGATTTTAGCAAAAATGCTTTTTGGTTTCTTTTTTTTCACTTGGAAATTAACTAATACACAAATATAAAACTGTTTCTTTCCTACTTGCCATTATATTTTTTAAAGACCTTTTTTAGAGATCTTTATAATTCTTTTCTAACAGAGTTCAGACTTAGGAGTAAAACAGAAAACTGAATTAAACAGTCGTTTAGAGGAGAAGACTAACCAGATGGCTGCTACCATTAAACAGCTGGAGCAAAGGTAAAAGTGTTGCTTCTTTAACAACACACAGAATATATTCCAACCAGTAGGAAATAGAGGAATTCGTCCACCCTAAATCAGGCATGTTGGCTAAACTTTTTCTGTATGTTACATGATGTCATTGAAACATTGTTTTAAAATGTCCTGAGTATTCTGAATAGCAGAAATGAGAGCTTAACTCACTTTGCTGCTGTTTCAAGTGTGCTTGTAAGTATGAAAGGACTCTTAAACGTGTGTTTACCATGAGTTTGAGGCTGGCCTGGAGTTAGTTCCAGAACAAATTTCGTTAAAAAGTGAGACCCTTAGTATTTGTAATTGTATGATTTTGTTTGTCACTAAAGTCTTTGAATACTTTCGTGCTAGATGAGGTCAAGGTCCTGAAAGGTAGTTCTCCAAGGATCCTTTGTGGATCTTTCTCATCTTTAACTCTTTTCTCTCTCATCTCTCTTTTCATTCTTTCCCCTGAATCCTTGCATAACTTCCACTAACAACTCCACTGTGTCTGACCTAAACACCAGCTTTGAGTTTTCATCTTCTGCTCAGGTGTTTCCCACCGACACTTGTAATTAATTCTGCCCAAAGCGTATCTTGTGATACCTGTTTCTCCTTTTGCCTAAAATTACCATTTCTTTTCCTGGGACTCAAAAGAAAAAGAAAAATGTTTGAGCCTTCAAGATTGAATGCATTGTAGGATCAGGATCACCCAGTATTTCCACCTTTGACATCTATTCATCACCTTTCTTAGACTCAGCTACCCCTGGACGTGCTTTCCACGTTTCCTATGCATCGTTTTTCTGGTTGTTCTGCCAATTATGAAGGCTCAAATGCCACCACCTGACATTGGCATCCTCTGATACCTCTTTTCAGCTAGAAATGATGCCCTGTGTCTATCTCTGTGCATATGTGTTATAGTCTGGGATCCACAAATGCCCCAAACAGACAGACAGGTGGGTCTGGAGAAAGAAAGAAAGATTTATTATGGCCGGGCTACACAGCCAGGCTACAGTCTTTCCTAGAGGGTCCGAGTGCAGCACCGAGCCTAAGCACTCTTGCTCTTTTTATATTGGTCATGCTGCTAGGCAAATAAGCAGAATACAGAAGCCAATCATTGTACGTCAAGCTTAAGCAAACATTATCAAGGAAATACATAATACAATTTTCCATCCAAACCCCCCACCTGCATGGAACCAGCTTCCTCCTCTTTCATAAACAGACATTATCAATCAATCTTACTGTTGTTCTACATTGTCTTCACCAGTCACAAAGTTCCCTCTAGGGGGGGTTTGTTGTATAGCAATTTTATCTTAGGAACCTCTAAATGTTGTGGGATACTTTTTGTACAGAGAAACTATAACCAGGAATGAAAAGTTTAGGTTCCCAAGCATACAGGTGAAGAGTCCCCTAAATAATTTCTATTTATTAATCAACAATTACTATTTTGCAGAAGCAAGCCAAGTGTAACCCACAGAAGCCATAAATCAGCATTTAGTAGAACACTCTAGGATGCTCTGACCTGTTCCCAAGACAACCAGGGTCCAGCTTGCATGTGGTTCCCATATCCTGGGCCAACTGCCTGATAATTTCAGAGACTAGAGTCAGCCTAAACTTGGTGTAGCTATGGTCAAGAAGGTGCCCTATTACAACTGGTCTGGCATTTCTCACTATGTGCTTCACCTTATAGCCTCTATGTAAGTGTCTTATATTCTGAGAGTGTGAGCTCCTTATGTTAGTTAACTAGTCTTTTAAATTCTGTCACTAGATCTGTCACCATGCCTTGAATGTACAAGGCATAAATTTAGTTCATGAATGAATTAATGAATGAATGAGATGGACGGGTGACTTCCTTTAGGTGATTCTTCACTAGGGAGGGTCCTAAACAACAGTGCACATTAGCGTTAATGCCAAAGTTAATTGCAAATTCATAAATGAAGTTGAAACCTCTGGTACGATTGATACTGATAAGACAGGAAAATATCCAAGTGCAGTTACATGTTTATGATTTAACAAACTGATTTTAATGGTCGTTAGGTTGTGCTTTTGAAATGTATGAAACGGTTCCTCAGTGATTTTTTACTTGGAATTTAAAGCAGACAGATCTACAATAATGACTGATCTGACTTACTTTCTTACTGTCTTTGTGTTTCCTATTTATCCACTTTCTCATTATCCTTTCACTCATTTTTATTTTTATTTTATTTAGTGAAAAAGATTTGGTGAAACAGGCAAAGACCTTAAATAGTGCAGCAAATAAACTGATCCCAAAGCATCATTAGACGTTTTGCAGTTAGTCACCTCACAAGTCTGATGTCACACATTAATTGTAAAAAGAAGAAATCTGAAAGTTCTTGCATTTAAGCTTTGATTCTATATAAAATGTCACCAAAAGTTGACTTTGAATTTGTTGGACTTAAAAAAAAAAAATCAGTTGGAAATATAGGTTGGATTTTTTGGGTTTTGGGGGTTTTTTGGTTTGGTTTTGGTTTCGGTGGCTGTTATTTTCTCCTCCAGAGTTAGAAAATTTGGTATGAGTTCTTAATTAAATACCAAATAAACTCTGAGAAATTATTTCTGGTTGCACAATAAATAAAAACACCATTTTTTAAAAGCCTAGGAAACTAAAAGCTCTATACTTATGTTAATGATGCCTTTACAACCCAATCCTTGATACTAATCAGATTCCAGGTGTGTTTGTGTCTGCATCAGCAAGCTGTCCTGACACTGCAGTGTAAGGGAGTAGAGGTGACTCTTGTGAACTTGGACTCTTCTAAAGTAGTTCTGTAGGTCATGCCCCTTTTCTCTTGCATTATATAGGGTTAACCCCAGCCCAAGGATAAGTACTTAGTATTTCATGGCACTTCTATTCTCAGTGACCAAGGTCGCTTACAATTTTTTTTCTTGCCTTCCTGATTTTGGACTAAAAGAAAAACAGCATCCTTGCATTTCTTTAAAGTACATAGAGATAAAGTTAGTAATTAGGTAACTCTAACATCACAATGTGGAAGCTTAAGAAACCCTTCTTCATGTTTGTCATCTTCTACCTCTGCCCTTCTCCGTAATCCCACTTCCTAAGTAGGTAGCTCCGAGAGAATGATTTAATAAAAGTGTTCCTTTCCTATAAACACGTACTATACATTTTTCAAACCTACCCTGCTTTTCCTACTGAAACAAAAAAGACAAAGAATAGATGAATGACGACTTCCTCCCTGCTGTTCCTAACCTGAAAAACTTGCTTAACAGCTTCTGGTACTTTTTCTTTAGATGGGGATTTGCTAAAGGTTCTAGGAAACTTAGTTTTTAGAGAAACATTTCAGAATGATAAACTTACATTATTATTTAGTACCAAATAAAGATCCTCAGTAGATATCCACAAGCAATATTAGCAGGGCTTCTTTTTCTAAGTGACCACAGCTCTAACCCTTTCTAGGCTTTACATTGTAAATAGTCCTATAAATACTTTGATTTTTTTAAAAAAAAATATTTTTGATTTGGGGAGATAGGCTTTTATATAAATGAGCCTTTATTCCTTCAAAAGATGTCGGCAAAATGTTTGGGTTTTTGTTCCGTTTCTTTCTCCTCATTCTGGTATGCTGTGCAGCTTTTCAGCTGTAAGGTAGAGACGAGGATAATTCCTTTGCTTCCAGCTCTTAAAATTCTTTACCTTCTTGGCAAACCAGAATTAACAATATGACAGATTCGTGTGCGTTTTCATAGGTCCTTGCACAGGCTTGAACCAAAATCAAGACAAGGAGACCCTATGTTAGAGCCATCTTCATGGAAGATCCTGTGGTCCTGAACTTATTTTAGTTCTTAACAATTTTGCACCTGTATAAATAAAGCTCCTACTGCATTCTGCATTTCATCAACCTTTTATGGTGATGAGTTACCTTTTCTATGAGCATTTGAAAAGAATAATCAAATCAATAAAATTTAGATTATACATAGCATGCCCCTAAATTATTATAAAGCCCAAATATTTCACTTTTTAAACATGATTATAGGTGCAAAGTTATTGTTTAGAAGAAAGCATCCATTAGAATCTTCCAGAGAATGTGGTCAGGAATTTTAAGAATCCCAGTGCTGAGTTCTTTGTCTGCTTGGTCACATACCACCTGATAGAAATGGAAGGGAAAGAGACAGCCAGACTTTGACAGGTTTTATTATGTAATAACCTGAAGCCTAGGTAAGGGTTGATATAGAATATCCTGCGATTTAGTGTATATGGTCTGGGGAAAGGATCAGAAAATCATTATAATTCCATGTATAAGAAGGTAGTTGCCCACGTGCAAGTTCCAGTTATATGTATAAAACAGAAATTTAAAGTACCAAATCTATTAGGAAATAAGAACAAAAGAAAAAAATGAATTCAACTAAATTACTGTGTACTTGAGGTTGGCTCAGTATGGATTTTCTAAAAAGTGATGTCTTACTGTTTATCATCTAATGGCTGTAAACTGTAGTACTAGAATAAAAAAAAAAAAAATGGAAAATCAGCTTTTCCTCTGCCTGGTTCACCTTCATCTTACTTTCCTTAGAATTTGTTTCTTCTCCATTTTCACCCCCATCATAATTCTTCCCTTGTGTCCTACAGTTTTTTCTTCCCGTCTCTCCATACCTTTTTTCTTGGGTTGTTTTCTTTTGTGTTGTGAGCTTGGTCTTCCTCCCCACCATGGCTTTTGTTTTTATCACAAGTTCATATGGCTCACATCCAGATTGCGCCAGGCTGAGCGAGGCCGCCAGTCTGCTGAGTTGGACAATCGGCTCTTCAAACAGGACTTTGGAGACAAGATCAACAGTCTGCAGCTGGAAGTGGACGCACTCACCAGGCAGCGGTGAAGAAGGGCAGCTTGAACCAGCAGGGAGGTCATGGGTAATGCCAAGGCTAGACAGCAAGAAGAGAATCCCAGGTCTTAGAACCATCTTGGCTTGATCTTTCCAGTGCCCTTTCCTGACAACTGGAATTCAGAAAGCTTCATCTGTATCAACATTCCCAAAATCTAGTCAACATCCTTTGTGATTAAATAATTAGGAATCAGCTGCTGGGTGTGGTGGTACACGCTTATGATACCAGCACTTGTTAGGCTAAAAGAGAAAAGGCCTGGCCACAACTTAGGTTGTATGTAAAGATACTGTGTCTCCAAAACATAAAACAAAAAGAGGAAATTAGAGACCAAGTTCCCAAGTACATGTAACTAATATGCAATGTAACACTAATGGAAATAGTTAATATTTCCTCAGTTCCTGCAGTGTGCCTTCTATATTACAGAGCTCTTCTCAAGCTACTGTGCCTAATGTCTTATGATCAGTTCTTGTAATAGGTGATATTCTTCCCTATTTTCAGCTGGAATTGCAGTTTAGAGGGGTTCAGTGTGTCTCAGTTCATATAGTTCACCTAGTAAGCAGCAACACTATCATTTTAAAAACCTGTTTTTCTGAGCCGGGCATGGTAGCATTCACCTTTAGTCCCAACATTCAAGAGGCAGAGGCTGGTGGATCTCTGTGAGTTCCAGGCCAGTTGAGGCTGCAGGAAGACCCTGTCTCAAGATTTAAAAAAAAAAAAAAAAAACTTTCTCTGACTAACCATTAAGTATTCTTCCATGCCATCTCTCAGATGTGACTCTCTTCAGTGCTGAAGCCACTGCCTTCAAAACTTTTTTGGCTCTAAAACACAAAGCTACCAAGAACACTTACTGGCTGATAGTATAAGTGAGGACTGAGTACATAATTATAGAGACCAGGGCCTGGAGAGATGGCTCAGTGATAAGAGCAGTGACTGCTCTTACAGAGGATCTGGGTTCAGTTTCCAGCACCTGCATGGCAGTTAACACTGTCTGCAACCCCAGTTCTAGGGGATCTGGCACCCTCTTTTGGCCTTTGCAGGAATTGCACACACAGATGCCCTTATGTGTACATGGCAGGCACAACATTCATACACATAAAATAAAAATAGGTATTTTAATTGCAAGCATAATTATAGAGAGCAGCTAAACAATACAGATAGAAATACAATGCCTGTACTTCCATGTCATGAAATTGTTAAATGCTTCACTGTCATTCAGTTTAATAAATACAAATGCCATTCAGTTGGCCAGAACTCTTCATGAAGTGTTAATGTAAAACACTACCAGCATCAGCCCCCTAGAAACAAGTGAAACATTTTTACATGTCACAGCATTAATTATTAGTTTCACTGCATTTTAGTACTTTAAAGCTTGGTTGTCCATATATTTCTGGTAACTCTGAGGAAAAGTATGACATTCTTTAGAAAATATGAATGCATAAACCAAAATGTTCATCCTTTTCCTCTCCCACCTGTCCCAGGAAGCAGCTTGAGTTAGAACTGAAACAAGAAAAAGAAAGGAGGTCACAAAACAGGAGTACCCCAGGAAAGGGGGCCCAGAAGCCAGAACCCACCACGGTAACATTTGTTATTCTTTGTTCCCTTTCTTGATTTTACTTAAATTTTTAGAGGCTAGCTTGCTAGGCCCTCTGGTTTTTTTCGTGCTTTGCTGCTGTGGTTTGCCATATGCAGCCAGCAAAACAGAGCTAAGAATGGAGAAAAGACCTCTCCCTGACTTGCTTTCATTTGGAAGGGAAAAAAGTGACTCTCTTTTCTTTTGAACTTTTAAAGTAAAATTATTCTAGTATCATAAACATGTATTTCTTGGAATTCAGCTAAGTTTTAGAGTATGGTATGATAATCCCTCGAGCCCTACATTCCCCTTAAACAGAATTTCCTCAAATGTGAATTTGCTTCTTGATACCTTTTTCTATGTCATGAGGATTTCAGTGTGAATATTACTTAAGGAACTTCTTTTAGAAAGAAAAGAAACTAAGCCTGGTGTGATGGAGTACACCTTTAATCCCAGTGCTCTGGAGGCAGAAGCAGGTCGCTCTCTGTGAGACGGAAGGCAGCCTGGTCTACATAGTGAGTTCTAGACCAGCTGGGGCTACAGTGAGACCCTATATCAAGAGAGGGGGGCAGGGACTAGAATTAAGGAAAGTACTGTACAATGGTTAAAAGAACAGAAGTGGAAATTTCTATAGAACAGTCTTGAAAGATGACCTCTGTCTAGCACCAGGGGTAAGGAGCTAGAATTGTGTAAGGTCACCTCTGTGACCAGGAAATGGGGCCAACCTCTTGAAAAGCATGAGACACTTCTGTCTGATTCAGACAAACAGTTGCCTCCTTTGTATATTAAATACATACAACAAAGCAGGATATAAAATCTTCCTATTTAAAATTTCTAGAAAATAAGATATTAATTTGCTACAGAGTACAAAGGAATGAAAAATAGAAATTTATTATACAGTATACTATTTATTACAGTAAATAGTAATAGTACCCGTTACTATTTCAAATGTGCAAACAACCACTATGTACTGTGCTGTCTTTATTACTTTAATTTAGTGAACATAAAATCTGAAGGACCTACAGGAGTTGTTTTAAAATCTTGATCTATATTCCTTTACTTTTCCAAGAAGGCTATAAAGATTCTCAATCTTTTTTTAAAATTTTTTAAAATATTTTATTATTTTCATTTTATGTGTATGTGTGTATTGCCTGCATGTAGGTAAGTGCACCTGTGTCATGCAGTGCCCACAGAGGACAGAAGAGACTATTGGATCCCCTGGAAATGGAGTTAGGGACAGTTGTCAGCTGCCATGTGGGTGCTGGGATTCAAACCTGGTCTTCTGCAAGAACAGTCAGTGTTCTTAACCTCTGAGCTCTCTCTCCAGCCTCAGGTTCTCAATCTTATATTGCCCTGCAACTTGGTTTCTAGGAAGGTAAACATTGCATTGACATCTCTTCTTTTATGCTTGAGTAGTCTGAAAACACAGATTCCACTTTTGGGTGGGCTGCAATTCAGAGCAGTCATCGGTATATGCATATATGCACATGTATATAATATGTATATATATTTATGTGTATGAATATCTTGCTTGTACATATGTAAGTGCACCCATGTTGTGCAGTCACATGGGTGCTAGAATTTGAACTCAGGTCCTCTGCAAGAGCAACCAGTGCTCTTAATTGCTGAGTCATCTCTCCAGCCCGATGTGTGTGTGTGTGTGTGTATGTGCATGCGTGTGTGTATCAGCATATTTAAGCTTCTTTCTATGTATATATAAATATGTACCACAGAAAGAAGTTGATCCTAAAAACTGTCGAGGGTGCCTTACCAGCCAGAGTAGAGATGCAACTTAGAATGTTGCATTGGTCCTTCAGATCAGAAAACTCAGCCCTACAGGTTGTGGGCATTGTTGCAGCAGTGGGGCAGTTCTTGACTGAGTGTTCAAAGGGTTACACATTCCAGTAGATGGGCTATGCTGAGTTTTGTGCTTTTCAGATATAAGTCAGAATATAGATATTTTCCTCAAGAAGTAACTGCTATTTCAACCTTCTAAAGAGGCCACATTTGGGGTTTTATTTGAATTTCAGAAATTAAAGAAAATATTCCAAAAATAACTAATTGAAAACTCATTCAGAGTAATTTTAAAACTGAAGGAGCAGAGTATGCTTTAAGGTTATGTTCTTTCTCCTAAAAAAAAAAAAAAGTTCCTCCCTTTCTATACAGCTAGGCTAAGGCATAGCAGAGGAAACCTGCAGTGTCGTCATTGTTTAGCACGTGGACAATTATTGAATTGAGCTGTTTTCTTTTGGCAGGATGGAAAGCACAAAATTCAAGAGGAAAGAATTAAACTAAAAAAGTCCCTGGAAGAAAGCCACAGGTGTTGTTAATGCATATTAACTAAACTATGAAGTCATGTTGGGGTGGTGGGAAAGGGAGCTCTTGATATACATGGACATTAACACAGACACTGACTTATGAAACTTGAAAAACAGGTTAAAGAGAAGGTGAATAAGTAAGAAACCAGGTAATATACTGAACTGTCAGAAGAAAGACAGTTGAGTGGCCTGTCCTCTCCATTCTTTCTTAATCCCCTAATTTAAATTACCACTCATAGAGATTATTTCTCATCTTGAGTATGATACCTCACACCTATAACCCTTGGGAGGCTGAAGCAGGAGGATTATGAGTTCAAGGCCAGGTTGGGCTACACTTCAAAATTCTGCCAAAAAAATAATTATTTATCTTTTATTGGTTGGAAATCTCAAGAAAATGGAGCACTAGTAAATCTTAAGTTTATAAGTAAATTTGAGCATGGCTTGTTTCCATGCATCTGCCAAGTTTGAACTAAGTATTTGCATTCCCCCATGTCTTAGCTCTCCTCTGTCTTAAGGCTCTCAACTTGCCTTTATTCCTTCTTCTTAACTGTTCATCTGATCAGCCAGCTATGAAAAGCAATAGAATCATTTCAAGGAATCTGACTTTTAACAGTTAATTTTAGCTGGTTAGAAATAAAACACTACATAATGCTACTGTATAAAAAACAAAGGTCCGACTATATGACATTCTAGAAAAAAACTATGCAGACAGTGGGGAAAATTAAAAAAAAAAAAAAAAAAAAAACACTGGCAAGAGTT